CTCTTCCTGGAGCAGTGTGGGACTGGAGCAGCAAGGAGCCTGCCTTAATCCCACTGCATCACTGGACTTTTAGCAGTTGCAAATCTCCCAAATTAGTTGTTGTAACCTCTGGGAGACCAAGCCTGATTCCAGGAGATTCCTGGTGAAAACAGGAGGTTGGTAATCCTAGCTACAGTATGTACTCATTCCCCTTCTCCCTTTTTTAAAAGTAGGTTAACTAGGAGAAAAATGGTGTAAAACTTCATCACATTTTTAATGAAAGTAGGAATAGAATTATCATAGAATCATAGAATACTAGGACTGGAAGGGACCTTGAGAGGTCGAGTCCAGTCCCCTGCTCTCATGGCAGGACCAAGTACTGTCTAGACCATCCCTGATAGACATTTATCTAACCTACTCTTAAATATCTCCAGAGATGGAGATTCCACAACCTCCCTGGGCAATTTATTCCAGTGTTTGACCACCCTGACAGTTAGGAACTTTTTCCTAATGTCCAACCTAAACCTCCCTTGCTGCAGTATGGGACAGTAAGTTTCCATGGCGATTAGGACAGCTGGTCAGATATAGAGGAACAAAGTTGGATTAGTTATGAGGGACTGGGCCTCGTTTTGAAGGGTTCTGAAGGAAGGAGAAATGACCCCAAGAGATATTAGGATGGAAATAAGTGACAAAAATGAGCAGAATAACCAGAAAAGGAAATCTGTTACTTGCAAGGTCTCTGTCATTTGTAACTGGGGGGGAAAACTTCACAATAAGAATTCACAGTAAAGTAAAGAAAAGACCGAAACACTCAAGTGAAAAAAGCATGAGAGAGAAGGAAAACAGAGATCAAGTTTGGGTGTGTTTTTAAGCAGAACTGTCCTCAGCATAGCATTTCAGTGGGGTTACTAAAGGTCTCTAATTACAGTAACAGTATGCTAAATGAGTCAATATTTGCTATGGGATACTATGCTATTCAGAAGGGGTGTGTGTGTGTGTGTGTGTGTGTGAATGAAATGCTAGTTTAACTGGCCTGGGCAGTAAAGTTCACTTTCTGTCCACCTAACAGATAGAGCACAGTCCTATTGGTTTCTCTACCAGTTGTGTCCTCCCAGATGTTGAAGAAATGGCTGCTGGGGTTGTAGAGAGAGTTTTCCAAATGTACTCGCTCTGTCTCTACTGGCTTTTGTGCTCTACTCACTAATAATTAGATTGAGACCACCAATACATTTTTCATAGGCCAAAAAACAACACTCAGATGGTAACTCTTTGTTTAGCATGTCTAAAGTTGGTTTAGAATAGACCACCAAACTGTCTTCTGTTTAAATTATATTTTTAAAATAACTCTGAAACTAGGGGTTGATCTTCATTAAGAACATAATGGCTATTCTGGGCCATACCAAAGTCCATCTAGTCCAATGTCCTGTCTTCTGACAATGGCTAATGCCAGGTGCCCCAGAGAGAATAAACAGAATGGGTAATCCTCAGCTGATCCATTGCTGTTGCCAGCTTCTGGCAAAAAGGCTAGGGACATCATCCCTTCCTATCCTGGCTCATAGCCATTGATGGACCTATGATCCATTAACTTAGCTAGTTCTCTTTTGAATCCTGTTATAGTCTTGGCCTTCACAACATCCTGTGGCAATGAGTTCCACAGGTTGACTGTGAATTGTGTGAAGAAATACCTTTTTTTCTGGTTTGTTTTAAATTGGCTGCCTGTTCTTTTCATTTGGTGACTCCTAGTTCTTGTGTCAGTTAAAGCTTGATGTATAACTAGTGTACGCTCCCTGGAGATAGAGACTGGGATTGCTGCTCTGATGCCGGCATTTCTTTGGTCACAATGGTGTAAGCACCAGCCATAATTTGGTCCGTAAGCAATATCTGATGTTGGTGATTATCAGTAGTGACATTAAGAAAACATTATAAGAACTTAATGTTAGTGAAAGCTGCAAACAAAGGTGTCTGTGTGTCTGATGGTTCCTTGGCTAGTGGAATAATTCCAGTGGCTGCTCTTGATGACTAATTCATAACAGTGTTGTCTTTAAGCTTGAGGATAGCTTACCTGCTAGGAAGAGAGGAATAGGATGAGTATAGCAAGAAGAAAAATTTGTTTTTGAATGGTTGCTCTGAAGATAGTGATTGATGCCAGTATCTTAGGAAAATAAGCTTGTTTCAAGATATTATTGTTTCAATATGTAATTCTCTATTAAAGGGGTCTTTTTATTTCCCATGTACAGGAATGGAAGATACCACTTGCGAAAGAACTGAATTTTTGAGTAACTATCTGACTAATGTAGAAGATATCGTATTGGTGCCTGGATCTTTAGGACGCATTCGCCCCCGATCTAATAATAATCTGAAATGTAAGTTGATTAAACAAGCACCATACTCTAGCGAGGCCAAGATTCTGCAACTCAAACCCTGGTAAAGTAGAGCATATCCAGACAACTTGTGCCATTATCAATGACTGAGAGACGAGAAGGAGTTCTTCACCTTGCAGAATTGAGAATGGTTTTTAATTAAATATTGTCTATTGATTAGGGACTGTTGAATGGTAATATTAATTATGAATCCACTACTTTCCCCATTCTTGTAGCCAAAAAGTGTTAGGTATTTGGCAGTCATGCACAGTTAAAGCAAGAGTAAACTGTTAAGTGTGAATTTGAGCAAATAGGGTTCAATGATAGATTTTTTTTTAACATACCAGATTTCTTTGCAACATGCCTTTGAGAAGTTCCTTAGCATTCAAGGTTAGCCCTACATGACACCACTTTTATAACATTCTGAGTACAATTTGCTTGACGATGTATCTGGCTGTACAAAGACCAGATTAAAGGTTCAACTATGAACAAATGTATTCTGATGTTAGCCTTAGGGACATGGGTAGAGATCTGTTTTCAAATTCCACTGTTTCACCAATGTGTATCTTTAGTTTTTTAGAGCATAAAAATGAATTTGTTCATTCATAGGCTGAAAGTATTTCAAAGTACACTCAAATATGAACAATATTTTGATTTTGCTGATCTACTATAAAGTCTAAATTCTTTGTTTGTAGATTCTATCAAAACTACTGGCAAGATTCCAGTTATCTTTTTTAAAGATATTCTCAAACCTATTATCTGCTACATGAGGGAATATTTTTGCAACACTTCTGCTGAGAGGTTTTTTTTCCCCTTAAAAGCATCCATTGTCCTTTCATTAACGCCAGTGAATTTTGCTGCAGTTTTCAGTAGGAGCAGGATCAGAATTAGACACTAGCATATTAAAGATCTACAGATAATTAGATGAACCGTATTTTAATTTGATATGCAAAGAGGAGTCAAATAGCAGGGGAAAAATCATTCTTTCAATTCCCCTGATGTTGAACAAGTTATTTTCTTCTGAATGGGGCATGTTGAGAATATCCAAAGACATGATCAGTCCCCTCATTGCTAGTTCCTGGCATAATGCCTCTGGGTTTTTTTTGAGGGGGAGGAGGGGGTTCACCCACTTCTAAGCCATTCATCTTTTCTATGGGTCTCTTTCTCCCTTCTCCCTGAATGTTTGTAATTGGTTATAAATGAGCAAGTCAAACATAAAACAAATAGGCACATTCCCTGGACTTAGAACAGAGATTTTGCACTTTAAATGGCAAATTATTTAACTACTTTCTCCATACTCTATTTCATGCCTTGCCACTACTTTCATTCTTGCCTTTTTGAAATAAATAGATGTACCTATGGATTATATCTGAGCTTGAATAAGACTCATTTCAAAGCCAATCAATACCCTGCCTCTAGTAGCCAAAATAATATGGGTGGGAGACAAGGTAATTCATTTACTTCCAACACAGGTCCTGAGAAATACTTTTTGCTGGCCCTGGAGGAAATGAGACTGAGAGTTTAATGTGGGTTGTCCAAGTGATAGTACAACTTGCCTGAAGTAAAGTCCCAAAGCTTTCCTAGTGTGGTTTTTAAGTTAATTTTGTTTTGTCACTTATTTAGTTGTGTGTGATGCTAACTATGCCAAAAGAATCAGTTTTCTTATTAATTATTGCTTGTAAATAAGGTTGCTTATTCTTGTACTTTAACATCTTTATAGAAAACTTTTTGCAAATTCTCAGGTGACTTATTGTCAGCTTATATATATGATTGTCAAAACACTTGTTTAAAATTTTTATTGTAAGGTCCAAAGTGTAAAACACTGCTCAATGCTACTACCAAAAAATTGGGTAATTAAGGAAAAACACATTAAAGGAGCATTGTATTTGCAAAATATGTTGCACATCATCTAAGATAGGATAGCTTTCAGAAGTCCAGGCTCCTTTTAAAAAGAGTGCTTACCTTTACGACTCCAATAAACAGATGACTGTTTTGTCTTCATGTCTCTTTTAACAGATGATCCTAAAGTAATTGTTGCCAACCTCACAGTAAGTATTCAGCACTGTCACATATAATATATTGGTCATTTACATGTTAATTTGGGGCTTTATTCAGTAATCTGTACTTGTGTTCAGTCAAGCAAAACCACCATTAAGCTGATGATAGTGGTAAATAGGGCCCTTCATGAGTAGGGACTAATGTTTGTCATGAGTTCCGCTGTTTGCTGCTTTAGTAGCTTTTACAACCCTTTAGGGTAGTACACAGCCAGAATCTCCCTGATGGTCTTGAGTCCCTCAATTGAGCCGATTTATTCCTTCCTTCAGAAATGGAAAGTAACCTTTTTATGAGTAAACATTTTCGTAGAACTTGGAAGATGCAGAAAAAATCCATTCGATATCCCTCAGTCAAAACCTTGTTTTATCAAGTGTAGAAGCCAAACAGCTTGAAATATATTTTTGGAAAGGCTATCTATTTAGTATTCAGAAATCTTATGAAATTCAGCTTTATTCAGGTATGAACCCACTTGTGTATCACTGTGGAAAATGTGGTGGCATGAGAGAACATTATAGTGAGAACAAAGATGCTTATAGAACATAATTCAAAAGCCACTAGTCCTTAGGGAATTCTTGTATAAATGGTGCACAGATACAAATATTCTAAAGGTCTTGTAGATTTTCGTGTAAGGTGTGGGAACTAGATCTGCTTTAAGTAACCTTGAACTGCTGAAATCAAGGAGATCTTGTGTTGATGATGCCTTCAAATAATATAGCTTTTTACAATTGTGTTTCAGTGTAAAAAGCCAGACCAGCACTTTAAACCTTATTTGAAACAGCACCTTCCCAAGCGCTTGCACTATGCTTACAACAGAAGAATTGAGGATATTCACTTATTGGTGGACAGAAGATGGCATGTGGCAAGGTAAACTGTGAGGAATGTTTTTGTTTGGTCTCTTCTTGACTTCTCTAGCTTAGTTATAGGCAGTGTTGAAAATTCGTTAGCAATTAGCCAGGGGAAAAAATTAATCCTGTTTAGAGAGGCAGGCAATTTTATACCATTACTTTGCACTTTAGAAAAGAAGGAATCTTTTCTTATTGTCAACATCCTTTTGTGTTTAAAATGTCAATTTGTTCCTTTGATCTGTTGATAAAATGTATTAAATCGGGTATAGTTAGTTCTTTTCTCATCAAACTGAATCAGTGTATTTTTTGGTAGAGAACAAGACAGATTTATATTCTTTGCACCTCTTGGAATGGCCTTTTAGAAATGATAGTTCTCTTTTGAGTGTGTTACTGCCGGTCAAACACAATGTATCACAAGTGTCTTTACTTTGCAGTATAATTGTAGCTATGTCATCCCAGGATACCACCTTGTCTAGTAAATGTCTTGGATACTTATGCTTAGTTTCCTGTATGTATGCAATGATCTCTGCTAAAAGCAGTGAATGGGAAATCCCAATTCCCAGACTGAACGCAACTTCAGTAGGCATGGTAACTAGTCTGCTACAGTTTCTGGTGATGGTTCTCAGATTTCAAAGTATGACTTTCTAGTTTCAGGACTGCCATTTTAATACTTTCTGTTGATGGAGAGCTAGACAGGAAGCAGTTTTCTAGTTCTGCAAAACTTTGACTTCAGAAATTTTCCTATTTCACATCAGGATGAACCAATGATCTCTCTTCCAGATTTTCCATGATTCAGACTAAGGGTTTGAACCTGGATCTCCTATATATCAGTTGCTTTTGGCTATTCTGGGTCAATATGTCTCTCTGGTTTTGACCTCTGAAACGTTATCTGTCAAAACTAGTGTGTTCCTACAAACAGTTTAGACAAATCATCATTTACTGATGACTCTTCTCCCCCCTGCCCCACAATAGTTGGAAGAATCCCAAGCAGCTCTAAGTACAAGAATGGGGAAGAGAGGTAATAGGAATATTTTACTCAAGTTTTTTCCCCCATCCATCTCCGATCAAACTTCCTTTTTTCCTCATCAGTTGCTGCTCTGCCTTTCAATGAGTGCATCCACCTCCACTATTAATGTAGCTGAGGGTATGTCTACACTTGCCCCTTACTTTGAAGTAGGGAGGCAAATGAAACCTACCGAAGTTGCAAATCAAGCCCGGGATTTAAATATCCCATGCTTGATTTGCATGTTCCTAGCTGGTCGCCATTTTAGAAATTCACTAGCCCAGAGTAACTGCCCACGTCTACACGCGACAGTGAAATGGTAGTCTGATTTAAAACCCCTAATTCGAATTAGCTGGTAAACCTCAGTACAGGAGGAATACCAGTTAATTTGAGTTAGGGCTTTAAATCGGACTCCCGTTTCACTGCCGCGTGTAGACGCGAGCAGTTATTCCGGGCTAGTGAATTTCTAAAATGGCGACCAACCGGGAACATGCAAATCAAGCATGGGATATTTAAATCCCGGGCTTGATTGGCAACTTCGGTATGCTTCGAAGTAGGGGGCAAATGTAGACATACCCTAAGTCTCAGAGGGGTAGCCGTGTTAGTCTATAAGGACCATTCATTAATGTAACTAACTCAAGTTACAAGATTCAACACTATTTCAGTTCTAGTTATAGGTCTGATTACTTTGCACTTTCAGTTTTAAGGACAAAAGCCAAATCTCTAAGGGTGTGTCTAGACTACATGGCTCCGTTGACGGAGCCATGTAGATGAGCTTACTTGGCAAAGGGAAATGAAGTGGCGATTTAAATAATCGCCGCTTCATTTACATCAAAATGGCCACTGCGCTGTGCTGATCAGCTGTTTGTGGGCACAGTGCGGCAGTCTAGACGGGGATCTGCCGACCCCAGAACCCTTCGTTGGCAGATCCTTTATGCCTCGTGAAAGGGCTCTTACCTGGTGTGTCAGACTCCTAGGCCACTCTTGGCCCGGTATAGTCCCTTGGAGGAATCCTCTTCACTGTGACAATCCTTCTTGGAGGTTCACTCTCTCCTGCGGGTTAAGTCCCCTCCACATCCTAAAACTGCACCTCCTCTGAGCCTGTGTGCATGTATGTGTGTTTGTCTCTTGACATGGGGCTCCCCAGGGCCTGCACTTCCAGAGGAAATAATGGGAAACCCTATTGTCTAAGTTGAGTGACTCACCACCAACGTAAAACAGAATGGTTGATTGAGGATCTGAACCCAGCATGGGAACTCTCAGGCTTTGTCTACACTGCAGAGTTTTTGAGCAAGAAGCCTTTTGTGCAAGAGTTCTTGCGCAAAAGCGCATTCAGACCTCAAAGTGCATCGCAAAAGCAATGTGCTTTTGTGCAAGAGAGCATCCACACTGCATGGACACTCTTGTGCAAGAAAGCTCTGATGGCCATCAGAGCACCTATGCTTTTTCCAATAGGGGTTTCTTGCGCAAAACCCCCCCCGGAGCTTCCACGCCTGCCTTTTTGCGCAAGAGCTGTAGTACAAAATGGAGTTATTCCTCATGGGGAGAGGAATAACTCTATTGGCAAAAGCCCTTTGTTCTGTTGATTTTTTTTTTCTTGTGCAAAAACGTACTTGAGGTATGGACGCTCCACCGGTTTTTGTGCAGAAACCCTGTAGTGTAGACATAGCCTCGGCCCTCAGAACAGTCCTCCCTCAATAAAGTCTCAACTGTGTCTAAGTAAGCCTTGGCTGTTCTCCCTCCCTGGTCCAGAAGCCCTCTCCTTCCAGCTCAGCATCCAGTATCATCAGCCCGAACATCTCCTCCCCTATTCTCTCTACCATCCTGGGTAAATAGGTCACTGGGGCCCTCTTTCCTCTGTCCTTTGTTTCCCTTTGGCTGGAACTGGTTGGTCAGGTCAGCAGGGTCCTCTCAGGCCATTCTCTTCCTACTGGCCAGAACCAGCTGGCAGCCAAACTGGGGTTGGCCTCTTGGTCACCAGGTTGTGGGTCAAAGGGTCCCCCGTCTCCATGCAGTTGTCCTGGTGGTGGCTGCAAGGAGAGTCACACTTGGTTGTCTTCAACAACAAACCCTCTTTCATCACCTTTTTAAACATGCAGCACCCAGGAAAGCAGAGGCATACACAAACAATTCATGTAAAACACTACAAAAGTTCCCACTTCGTCACACCTGGCAATGGCAAGTTATCCAAAGCTAGTAATAGATGTTGCTGGTTATCCCATATGCATTGATTTCTTTTCAAGTACCTCTCAAAGAGAGGATGTTGCAAATTTAAATAGTGGCACAGTATTAAGTTTTATTATACCATCCATTGAAGCAAAGATCCTGTGTCTAAATAACACAGGAGGTGTTGGCAGGAGGTAATTCTGTTAAGAACTGATGGCACAATACAGCCTATTACTAATACTGAGCAAAATTCACCGTTAAGTCTTTGGGAGCAGTGGGAAGGCCCAATGGCTGTCAGTCAAAAAAAAAAAAGTCACTTCCTTGGTCGAATATATTCAGTGCTGAGTGAGCATCATTGGGAAGGAGACATGAACGCCCATTTAACATTTTAATACATTTCAAAATTAAAACATTTTATGTTGACAGTTTTCCAAAGAGGACCAAACATCCCCCTAGATTTTCATTTGGGTACTGTACTTATTTCTTGTTCAAACTGTTAATGCATTAATAGAACTGTCTGGTTCCACTCGGCTGGTGATAGTAGTTAGTGAACTGCTCTGGGATTGTTTTGGACAAAGCTGCTGTGTCAGCGTGAGATTACTTGATTCTTTTTGTGAATGAAGGCTGGGATTTTCAAACCCTGTACAGTTTAGGTGCCCAAATCCAGTCAGAGGCAGTTAGGCCCTAATTTTCTGAAACTCCTTTTGAAAATGGCAGCCTGAATTTTAATCTTCTGAAACTGCATTATCAGTTCAGCAGTACTACTTATGCTTTTACATTTCAATGTAGGAAATCCATGGATGTTTATAAGAAACTATCAGGAAAATGCTTCTTCCATGGAGATCACGGATATGACAACAAGATCAATAGTATGCAGGTATATGCAGCAAACTAACCTTTTTGGGAGGGTAATGTAAGAAGGAGAGGGAGGGGGGGGGGGGGGGGGGGGGGGGGGGGGGGAGAGGAGGAGGTGTATAAGGGGAGAAATTTTTAGTCTTGGACCCTTTTTTAAGAGTTAAAACAAACCTCTCTTCCCATGTGTCTCTCTTCTTTGAAGACTGTCTTTATAGGCTATGGGCCCACATTTAAGCACAAGACCAAAGTACCTCCATTTGAAAATATTGAACTTTACAACATTATGTGTGGTAAGCTACTCTGTTTCTAAAAATATATTCCTTTTACCAACAAAGCTTTCAGAGGTTGTTGTAGGCTTATGCTCAGGGTCACCACCTTCTCCCCCAGTACTGCACTACAGTATTGCTTGCTCTTTGGCTGGAAGGACAGAATGCTCAGAGGCCTGTGTTTGTTTTACTCCAACAATTGGCCAGTAAAGTACATTCACATTATGTTGCTGCTGGCAGCTCCTCAGATATCAAATACGGAGTCTAGTATGTCTGTTTTCCATGGGAGCAAGACTTGTCTCCAGAGAGAGCTTCTGCCCTGCATCCCACACATGGCAGCTAGGCCATTATTTTACCACTGTTGCGCTTCCTGTTGGTGGTATTTTATTTTCAGACCTCTTGCTGCAGCAATGAAGTAGAGAAGCTAAATATGCAATGCGTGATATCATTTTTATGATCTTGTTTTTAATTTTACAATACATCTTTCCATCTGAGGATTTCCAGAGAAGCTGCTGATATTAATTCATAACTGTGTGGTTAGTATTTGATCATTCCCATTTATAGCTGGGGAGGCTAATGCATCTCCCTTAAGTAACTGGTCTTGAGGTCTCTGAAGTCCATAGCTGAGTTGGAAATAGAACTAAGATGATTTTTTTAAAAATTTTGTGTCTAGTTTTAGCTAGACTGAGCTTTCTTTCAGATATGAAGCCTTCTAGAGATCACACTGGAACAGAACTGCCATTAGCACAGGTGCCTTTGTGCAAATAATTTAACAGCTCCTTATCTCTGTTCCCTCTTCTTCAAATGTGTGACACCATTTTCCTCTGTGCCAATGGTGTGACTTACTTAATGTTTGTACAGTCCCAGGAATTCCTGGATAAAAGATGCCAACAAAGTTTATGGGGATGTTGAAAGTTGTGTATCAGTTTGACTTTTAGTATTTTCAGGTTGATCGCACCATCAGGTTTTAACTAAGCATGCTGCAGGTTTGCCCTTTAAGCCGTTGATTCTTATTGGAACCACTAGGGATACATCTGCTCTGCAAATCCCTTCCATCCCAACCACTGGCAGCAAGTGTTAGAGTTCAGGTCAATTGACTTGGTTTCCAAGGCTTCATGATGGGGCTAAATATCGCAATGTAGATTTTTCCCACTTGGGTTCTGACTTTCCCCTCCTCCCCAGGTCTCAGTGTCTGAGTGTCCCAAGCCCTTTAGCGTGGACCCTGTGAGCCTGAGTCAGTTTCCTTGAATTCTGAGATTCACAGCTGCAGGTGTCATATTTCCCCTCCCCCTCACCACCATGTAAATGTGTCCATGGGGTTACTGTAACAAAAATGAGGAGTCCTCTGGCACCTTAGAAAGTAATAGATTGCCAAAGGACTCCTCATTGTTTTTGCAGAAAACACAGCAACCCCTCTGAGACTGTAATAGAAGCATTGAATATTATGAGCAGTTTCTCCATCAAGCTATAGTAATAAACCTTACTGTTCCTATTATGAAAAATACCAACCCTGCCTATTTACCCAGCAGGCTTCCATGTTGTGGATAAAGGCTTCGCATTATTCTTTGGTTACATTAAAAATCTCTCTACTTTATGAGGTGCAAAGTAGTTGATGTCTTGTTTCTAGCCATGTAGGAAATAGGGGCTGTCTATTGATGTATATAGTGCAGTACCTTTACAGTTTTAGAAGCCTACTTCTATGTCTGGTGTCTTGTCAGATCTGCTTGGATTAAAGCCCGCTCCTAATAACGGAACCCATGGAAGTTTAAATCACTTGCTGAGGAACAGTGCATATAAACCAACCCTGCCTGATGAAATTGCACGGCCGCTCTATCCTGTAGCTGCATTTTCTGCCTCTGAATATGATTTGGGCTGTACCTGCGATGACAAGGTAGACCCAAGGATTTATTCATACTAATGTCAATACAGATAATTGTCTTCGACGTTGGGGATATATTGCATGCTCTCACTTTAAGAGAAGGATCTAGCATTTCAGTATGCTTTTGATCCTGGGTGCTGTGAAGGGCCTATCATATCTGGAATGTTTAGTGTAATGTGTCCTTCTCAATCAGGCTGTTAGGACCAGTATTACTTTGTTAAAGAAATAGTGAAAATGGGAAGTCAGAGAAGGCTCACTCCGATGGTTCAGCTGCTAATCTTTTTTCACTTTTTAAAATTTTTTATAAAGAACAAGTTGGATGAGCTCAATAAGCGCTTTCATATCAAAGGAACAGAAGGTAAGGAACATGGTGGTGAATAAAACATTTATTTTCTTAATTTTCAGTGATGGTTTACTAAATTTAAATCAGCATTCAAACTAAATAATATGAATGTTTTCTTTATATTGGTATTGTTATTTAATGACTATATTGGACAGCAAATCAACTTTTCTTACAACTCTACCAAATAGCACATGTAAGATATAAGTCTGTGGGCTAGACTCTCTAGGGTTGTGCAAATCACCTAGCCTGCTGCCCACTTTTGATTATTTTTCCTTACAATTTCCACCCTGACAAGGCAGCTTTAACTTCTGCTGACGGCTCTGTATGAACCATTCAATAGAAGCTGCCACTGGGATGTACTAAACCAATGTACCCTTGGTCACACCCAACCTTTGGACTGTTCTAGTCCTTTGGGAAGGAGGCTGTAGCTATTCTTTGCCATTGCAACCCCACTCTATACCAAGTTTGCTAACACAAACCCTGACTTTATTTAATATTTACCTATATAAGGATCCCATGGGACTATTCACACATTTAAATGTTTAACACAGGGATATTCTTACCAATATAAATGTGCAAGTTCCTTCTAGTATCTTGCTAAATTCCATTAGCCGTGTGTGTTAGCTTGAGATGGACCAACCTTCATAAACTTCTAGTCTATCAAATTTTGTAGGTTTTTTGGAATGGATCCTGAGTTATCTCCAGTCAGGCATTTATGGTGACTTTATTTACACTTTTGATAAATCTTTTCCTTTCCCTAATTCTAATAATACAGACAATTGGTGCAGGTCATTCTTAATAGATAAAAATTGTTCCTTGCCTTTTGCAAGTTTAATTGCTTTTCTATGGGTGATTATAAAACATAAGGCACTAAATAAAATTTAAGCCTGGCATTTTAAACTATCTTCAGTTCTGCTGCTATGCCTGTCACTAAACCAATGTCCACATGAAAAAATTTAACTATGTTCTCCTCTCTCCCCCACAGTGGAGTCTATCAGTAGTGCATGATAGGCATACTTCTACAGTTTTGGTTTAAACTAATTTGTGCTATTGGTTTGAAGGAATACTTCCTTCCGTACCCATTAAATAATGGGAACAATCTACAAGAGCCACAATACTAGCTGACCTCCTGAAACTGTGATCTTTCTTTTTTTGTAACTTCTCAACATTTTGTCAATTTTCATTAGCATACTATAAATAAATTTGTTCTTGTATAAGTCTTTAGAAATTGGCTACTGTAAATTGTCTATATTTGTTAACTCAACATGGAACATTTGAATCATACTTACTCTAAGAGAGCTGGCCAAAACTAAGGATTTCTGGATTGCAGGACATGTTGACATTTCATAATTTGGTTTCATTCTTAATCAGAACAAATTTTTTCTTATCTCACAAACTGGAAATCTGCCCCTCCTCGTCCCCAAAAATCACTTTTTCAAGAAACACTGACGCGTGTGTTTCCAAAAAAGAAATAGACTCCCTGGTCTCCTAGATGCTGATTTAAATGGACATTTTTGTCAAGTTTCACCAATGCTATCTTGAGGGGCATGGTTCTATATGCAGGAAGTCTAGCATCCAAACCAGGATAGAGCTGCAGATTGGTAGTTCCTCTGCTGACTCATGCCCCCTCCCCCCCCCAAACCTCTCAAGGCTATTCTGAATCTGAGCAGTTCCACTGACACTTTGTGTCCGGGGGAAGGATGGGATGAGAAGAATTTCTCTTTTTCATCCTTTTAAGTCTAACCTGTTTCTATAGTAGTCAGCTCAGTTATTTAGGCTGGATGCAACACAGGGGATTTGCCTGTTAAAGGAACATGTTTTGGATAAATTGATTCTGGCAGTGTGTCTTCATATAAGTTAATGTAGCTTCCTCCAATTTCTAGAGAAACATCTTCTGTATGGACGTCCTGCAGTACTTTATCGTACAAAGTACAATATCTTACATCACCAAGACTTTGAAAGTGGCTACAGTGAAACTTTCCTGATGCCCCTCTGGACATCGTACACTATTTCAAAACAGGTCCATTTCAGCTTTGCTTTTGAAAAATGTCATATAATATCACTGGTAGCTGTATTCCAGGAGTCTTAAAATTCCCTTTCCTACAGGGATTTTCCTGCTTTGAATCACGTAGATTTCCATTATAGAGAGCACTCTGCATAAAAAAGTGGAATTTCGAGGCTCAAGGACTGTGTATGCGGCTTCACCCGGGATTTGTTCCTCTGCATTATAATCAGCTAGTTTTATCAAGTTGTTTCCAGTGGAAATTCCTGTCCCTAGATTGCTGAAGTAGACTATCTCCGTGTCATGGAACAGTTTTTTTTACTATAGTGGTTGATGGATATATTTTATAGTAAAGAGGATCTTCCATCTTACCTGATGGCTATTAGAAATGATTATGCTTCAAATAACATTCTTCACTAATGGTAGATCTAAACAAGTCTCATGCTCTTGTTATTGACTTTTGTTGGGAATGATATTGACAGCTGGTTCCATGTGTGCCTTTCAATGCAGGCAGAGGTAACTGGTGTCCCCGAGCATCTGTCTAACTGCGTGAGGCCAGATCTGCGTATTTCTCCAGGAAACAGTCAGAGCTGCTCAGCCTATAGAGCAGATAAACAAATGACTTATGGATTCCTTTTTCCACCTCGTAAGTTTAAATAGAACGTGTGTAGAATATAAAGGAGATACTCTGCATGCTGTTACTTTTTATTCCTAGAGATTTTTTTTATCTCCTCATTTGCTAGGAAATTTTTTTTTATGTGAAAAAGGCACCATATCTGGAGGAGTTGAGAGCTTTTCAGTGTCACTGAAGAGATATTTGATAGCCGTACCATTACTAGTTTTTTCTTCTGGAGAGACTGTAATAAGCCAATGAAACAGTTAAATGTAATTCAGTTTTAAGTGCACATGATTTTTGACCACTGTATAAATTTTAGTTGGGTCCCTGCTTTTGAAAAGTTCGGTAACTCAAATATCCATTCAGCTAGTTAAACAGATCTGTTTATTATTAAAAAGATGGTGATTTGATCAGTCCAGGGTACATATGAGGGAAGAAGATGTCTGAAAATAAAGGGCTCTTGTCTAACAAAGATGAGACAAGATCCTAGTAGTTAGAAGTTAAATTGGAAACTTGACAAAACTTGACTGGAATTAAGATACAATTAATTAATTTACTCTGATTGTTCTAAGAACACTTATAAGATAGTCTAAAATTCTATAAACTGACCTCATGCCAAACCAAGGCCAAAGATCAGTGTTCCTTTCTGGACTTAAAATCACTGGATATGAAATGAGATGATCAGATCAAATACTGTTCGACTCATTTGAAATCTGGCATGTATTGTGTATGCAGTAACGATGAAGGAGGGGGTTGAGCCTGAGCTGGAAAAATTTGATATTCTTCTTCTTGCATTCAATGCACCTACACCAATATACACCAGTTGAACATCTGGCCAAAAATCTTCAATTCAGAATGTTAGAGAAACACAGCTACTATCTGAATTTTTTTGTCACAGACAAAATTGTTTAGTCTGGAAACTTAACGAGACTATATTTCTGCCTGTCTGTAAAGAGAGATCAGGATTTTCTCACGCATGTTGACTTGCTTACCATTGCTTCAGTCTCTGCGAGGACAGGTGTATATGCTAGTCAGAATTAATGCCTGAGCAGACAGTTGCAGCCTGGTGGGATGACTTCTTCCTCTTTGATTTATTAAAGAAAGGGTTGAAATAGTCTAACCGAAAAAAAAAATTAAAAACAAATCAATCAATCAATCAATCAATGGTCCTGCAGCATCTTAGAGACTAACAAAAAATGTAGACAGTATCATGAGCTTTTGTGGACACAACCATCTAAAAAAATGGGTTGTGCCCACAAAAACTCTAAGATGCTACAGGACCATTCATTGTTTTTTAACTTCCAAGACAGAATAGAAACTGTTCAGAAAAAAAAAAAAAATCAAGAAATGATCTTCCCACTGCTGTTAATTGCATAAAGTACACATTGCTTTTTAAAACTAACACGGCTACTTCTCTGTCTTGGAAGCGTGAGCCCTCCCACCCCCCACACACACCACAGTGATCACACCTCCTGAGAATGAGAAAAATAGAAATAAATTTAGCTGGTGGAAGTTTGCAACTAGGACCTATGTCATGCAAAATACCAAAAAATTGTTTAACTTAATTCAGTCATCTCATTATAGAATTCAGAGTCTCATTTAGAAGGTCATCTTTCTTTTGATTACTACCTGCAGTTGTTTAGTTAATTTATTTTCCTTGAATCTCTGAAATTATCCCTAGGAACTGTCACATTAACACGTCTTATTCTATGACTTTCAGAATTAAGTTCCTCTGCGGAAGCTAAATATGACGCCTTTCTAATAACAAATATCATTCCTATGTATCCTGCCTTCAAAAGTAAGTATGCTTGTGCATTTACAGCTGATTCTGCGCACTGCTTAACGAACTGGTATGGATATCTTTCAAAAATTACGTTACTACTGAACTGTAGAATGAGCTGATATAGAGGTTTAGTGGGTAAATTTCAGCTGGCCTCTGTTAATACCTTGTACAGGAATATAGTTGTACCAAATTGATTCATCACAGATGGCACTAAATGCATCTAAACAAATACATCTTTGCTTTATTTTTTTTGCTTTCTAGTTTTGGTGGATTGTAGCAAACTTTTAGGCTCTTCTGGTGGCATTTCTGGCTTGGCTGACAGCAGAAAGTCTTGGAAGAGGCTCAGGAAACAACTCTTATGAGATTTCCTACCCAAATTCTAGACCAAGGAGTTTGGCTAAACCTCAAAATTCTGAGATCCTTTTCAAACCGGAGGGGAGGGTATTAGCAAGTAGTGATATACTTAAGGCACTTTGACAAAGGTGACAGAATGACAGTTACCTGACCAAGCAGTGGACTGATTACCTACTCTGAAATCATGATTTCTTAAAATGCTGTTTCCAGGAATATAATCATAGGACCAAACAACCATAAATTGCTTGTATTGTGGTATAATTTTTTTAAATCGTAAGTTGATATTGACATCCCTAACAACTGACAGGTTTCTCCAATGGAAAAGTTGATACTGCAGAAATCATGATTACTATCTGAAGTATGCACGTTCTGTACAGAGGGAGAAGGTCCCTGTAAAGAGATTTAAAAATTAATAGTAAGGGAAAATAGAGGCCGTATGAGTGAACAGCTCATTAATTTAAAACATTACAATGGGCTTTGGTTAGGTACAATTCCTATTAGTTCCTTTCTTTTACCTTTTTAATATATTTAGATCTCTGTTCCATCTTTTATAAGTGAAGATACTTAGATTAAGGGAAGAAGAATGTTGATATCTTGTCTGGTATGACAATCTGTCTACATCCTTCAGAAGACACTGGTCTTCCGTAATAGGTCTCAGTATAACTAAGTCATTGCAGTTACAGAAATTAAAACAATTGATATATGAGGAAACTTACCTGAAAATAATGTGCCTTTCATGCTCTTTTAGATAGGACCTTCTTTAATTGCATAACAAAACTTATAATCTCTAATGACAGCATCACTGAAACGTTGTGCTGTTTGAGGGGGAGGGGAATAGCATTGATGCAAATAGATACTAAAAACACAACTGGAATGCTTGCAAATAGCCAACGACATTGAAAGCCTGTGTGTGAATACTCAGTTCTACTGCTAGGGAAGGAACAGCAAGCTGTCTGTATAAGGTCTATTACAATGCCAGCCTTAGAATGGCAATGTGCGTTTCATTTATCGCTCATCAGAAAAAAAATGAATACAGCACAAAGAAATCTAACAAACTTCCTCTAGAGCAATGGTTCAGGAGCTAAATTACTGATCAGCATTACCCAAAAGAACCATAGTAGCATGAATTCATTGTCTCTGTCTGTCACTCTCTCTCAGCAAAATGACTGACCGAATATTATTTTATCAGTTACAATTGGTTATTAATAACATAGTAAAAGTGACCATGCATTGGAAAATCATTACTGATTGCCTACTTTGAAGTCCAGAGAAGAAAGGCAAAAGTGATGAAAGGTCTCAAACATGATCTGTGAGGGCAGATTGAAAGGACTGGATTTGTGTATTTTGGGGGGGGGGGGGGGGGGGGGAGGGAGAATGAGAGGGGACATAAAGTTTGAAGTACATAAAAAGTAGTTATAAGGAGGATGGGGGGAAATTATTCTCAGTCTTTGAGAACTGAGAGAAGCAGTGGGCTTAAATTGAAGCAAGGATGGTCAAAGTCTAAATTTCTTGGTCAAGGTATAGTCAAGATCCAGACTTCAGAGAAAATAATTAAAAACTCTAACAATAATTGATAAGTAAATAAAAAGATTTTGGGGTCCATTCAAAAGCATTTGATGGTTCAGATTTGGCTCACGGTTTATCGGTTGCTATACCTGGTCTAAATAATATTTAGTCCTGCATGAGTGCAGGGGACTTGACTATATGACCTCTCAAGGTCCCTTCCAGTCTTGCGATTCTGTGCTTCTACAATAATGCCTTTGATAGCTGCATGCATGATATGAATGACAACTATCTGGCTTTTTTATCCTTGCAAGAAAAGCGCATCTAGAAACTCGTAAGCATTGTTTGCTCACTGAAGTTAATCTTGTTTCTTTGCACAGAGGTATGGAATTATTTTCAAAGGGTTTTGGTGAAGAGGTATGCAACTGAACGGAATGGTGTAAATGTCATAAGTGGACCCATCTTTGATTATGACTACGATGGTTTACATGACACACCAGAAAAGATAAAACAGTAAGAGTTTATATTTAAATGCATTAACTGTTCTTACTGACTATCTAGCAAGACAGCATTTCCCAGTTGCTATTTGAGCTTAAGGTACAAAGTGCTAACTTGTTAAAACTAAGAATCGGGTTCCTTGAAGGCAATAAATTTGCTGGTTAGTGCGATCTGGTAAGGATACGTTTCTTGATTCTTGCATATCTTGCTAAAAGGAAGATTCTCAGGACTAAATACTTTTATGGGTGTGTATTAAAAAGTAATTCACTCTGTTCCAGATAACAGCAATGGAACTACCCATTATCAGAGAATTCCCTACCTTGTGGTGTTTATATTCTGAGAGGGAGTGTTCATTCATCCTTCCTAAGATGGCAACTTTGATTTATGTTTCAGGGAACATCAGTAACTACTGTAATTTATTATACCTTTTACTTTGTAAGAGTGGAGCAAATTCTGCTTGCAATGCAATGCTAAGGACAATAGGGTTATTGAGTTAAATACATAAATCTTCCCCCCCCCCCCCCAAAAAAAAAAGAGAGGGGTGGGTTGTTTCTGTGGCTCCTTAGAAACAAATAGATTTATTAGGGCATAAGCTTTTGTAGGCAAAACCCTCTTCATCGGATGAACTGGAGTGGAAGTTACAGAAGCAGGAGTGTGTATGTATGTATGTATGTGTATATATATAAGGGAGAAGTTGCTTATGTTAATGAAGCTAATGAAGGCAGTGTGGAACTGGGTCATTCACAGCATTCGGTTTGGAGATCTGAATATCCAGAGAAGGGAAATGGTCTTTTCAGTGCAGATCTTTATCCAATCCTAAATGGATACTGTTTAATTCACAAATGAATTCCAGTTCAGTTGTCTCCCTTTGTAATCAGTTTTTAAAGTCTTGTGTAGAAGGATGGCTGCTTCCATCTAGTTCAGTCAGATGCCACTGGAATTCATATGGGAATTGAGTGAAATTCTATGGACTGTTATGTAGGAGCAAAGAGAAAGTAAGGGACAGCCATGATAGGCCCTTGTTGAAGCCCCAGCTCCTGGAGTCATGTTATTACATTAGAATCCCAATATTCATTTTTAAAAAGCATGTTTGTAGCTCTCATGGTTTCAAAGAAAATCTTGTGATGCTTGTGCAACTGCGGCAATATCTGCTTTCCTTAGTTAGCAGGTATCCAGAAATAATAGGTTTGAATGGCAGAGGTGAAACTTTTATCAGGCCCTGTCAATGCCACTGCAACAGAGAGGTCTATATGGACACCTTCTGACAATACAATCTATGAATAATATCAGTGACTGATTGGACAATTCTGGTGGGGTCCAGGAACAACCGGAGGGTGAAGGCATTCCAGCCTTATCCCTCATTGCAGAGCCTGACATTGAGGTAGAGCTGCTGTGCTCACTTGAAGATTTCTTAGGTATTAAAGTAATTCTCCTTCCTGAAGAGTCCAGAATCTGGACCCCAATATTGATTAATTGTGCTCTTTGCTTGGTTTCTGGTCTGTATTGAAGCCCTGTAAATAGGATCAGTGGGTAACAAGAATTAATTGTAGGATGTTTCAAATGTAATCAGACTATGCAGAAATTGGAGCCTCTTAGCCCTGGTCTATACTAGGGAATTATTTTGAAATAGTCCCCTTTATTTTGAAATAATAAGCAGAGTGTCCACACTACCAAGCCTGTTATTTTGAAATAATGGGCTGGTTATTTTGAAATCTGTACTCCTGCTTTCCTCAAGGAATAAGTTTATTTCAAAACAGTTATTTCGGGAGTTATTTTGAATTTAGCTATTTTGAAATAATTTCCTAGCGTAGACGTGCCGTTTGTGACTTCTGTACCTTCATTTACTCACATTCTAACCTAAGAGGACACCTGTCTGTGAAGATGGAAATGAGTACTTTGACAACACTCCGTACAAATAGCATTTCACAGGAATGTCTTATCTAGGAGTACACTTATCAGTTTTTGCTAAATGTTTGTGTTGCATTTTCTACCTAGGTACGTGGAAGGCAGTTCAGTTCCAGTTCCAACTCATTACTACAGTATCATAACTAGCTGTTTAGATTTCACTCAGCCTGCTGATAAATGTGATGGACCACTCTCTGTTCTTTCATACATATTTCCCCACCGTCCTGACAATGAAGAGAGCTGCAATGTAAGTTCAAATAGGCCCTGCTATATTAGTTTCCATAACTAGTTTGTCTGGCCATGGCTATGAGTAAAATTAGTGATTCACTCTAGCTTTTAAACAAATATTATTGAACACTTACAAAAATTTAAACCAAAATGTCTTGCTTGTAATGAATTGATGGCAAAACTGGAAAAGAACTTGGGACTGCTATCTTTAAAAATATATTTTGTGTTACACATGTGAAAATGGCTAGATGTGATATGTAGATGCAATGATTTGGCAGCACAGTAAATAACTTATAGGGTCATAACATATGGCAGAACTTTTAATGAAGTCATCTTGGAGCTGCACAGCTAGACAAGTTCAATATAAAGGCTGACAATCAGATGTTTTTGTGAAGGGGCTGTTGTGAGATTCAGCTTTGCATCCTTATAGTGTCTGCCTGCCATGGTGTTCCAGGTGACTCCTCATACAACATAGTTATTACTTAAACACAACAGCAGCAAAGAGATGCTCTACCTGTTCCTGAGTTTTCCTGGGGCCAAAAGACTTTTTCTCTCTTAGATCAGAGGTACAACTGTTTATAGTTGCAGTAACCTGGAAAATACAGTGGACCCAGTCTGTATAAGGCTTTTAGATGTTAACATCTGAATGTTTAAACATGGTCCAAACACCAGGAGAGCCAGTGCACAGAACAAAGCAGTGGAATACTACATTCTGTGTTAGAAATTTTTCCACGTGGGTTCTTCTCTATAGGCTGCTTTGTTTCCCAAGTCAAAATATTTATGGTGCATTTAGTATTGATACACAAAGCCAGAGCTCCTGTTCCAGGTACCAAGTAGGAGTAATTTTTCCAACTCCACCCACAATATGCTTAGAACACTGTCCTCCTTATCTATCAAGCACCTTTACCGTGAGTCAAGCTCCAGCTTCTACGCTCTTCTAGTTTCACTGCTTCCTACACCTCTGCTCTGATTTATTCCTGTACCCACTCCTTCTTTGGCACACACATCTTGTTTCATGTGTACTGTAGGCCTTAGCCTTTCTGCTAATATTCACTGCTTTGTCAAGGAAGTTAATAAAGAACCATTCTACTTTTTTTTAACTGAATTATTTAGAGAAAATGTAATTTGGCAAAAGGGTGTTCATCCTGATCACTGTATCAGATGTGTCCTTGAACCATGGTATTCCATCTGATTCAAATGACAGTTGGCCGTGTCCAACTTCCCATTCTATAGGTATGGGTGAACAGTGTAGGGTAAAAGAAGTAATATCCTTAACCTCTCCAAAAAAAATTTCTGAGATTTTAAAAAAATGGTCTCTTTTCCCAGCTTACTTCCTTCCCGGCCTTTATCTCTCTGTGTTCTTGTGTTCTAGTCGGAACTGAAAGATGACCTACACAAATTTTATGAATTAAACCTCACAGCAGCCATGTGCAATACAGTTGTTGTATCCCCATTTTGTCAATGCAGAAACTGAGGTGCAGAGCAGTTAATTGACTTTTTCAGGTTCACACAGATGGTCTATAAAAGAACTTAGAATAGATCCTAACGCAGTCCTGTGATATGCTACGTCACTATCCTTTTCTAGAATTACTAGCATATTTTAGGTCTTCCCAATGGTCTAAAAATTGAGCTTCATAATCTAACAATGTTTCTGTTTGAGCTTTGTCCCTTTAATTTAGAATACAGAGTATGACTTCCAGTTTAGAAGACTGAACATTTAAAAACTAAGAAGGCAGATTAACTTTTCACGAGTAAATTTGTTACACATTTGCATAGTAGAGAGATTTCAGAAGACTGGAAAGGGTCACACACAGTGCCCATCTATAAAAAGGGAAATGAGAACAACTCAGGAAACTACAGACCAGTCAGTTTAACTTCTGTGTCAGGAAAGATAATGGAGTAGGTAATTAAGGAATTCATTTGCAAACATCTTGAAGAAAATAAGGTGATAGGGAACAGCCAGCATGGATTTGTAAAGAACAAATCCTATCAAACCAATCTGATAGCTTTGTTTAATAGGATAACAAAACTTGTGGATAAAGGAGAAGTGGTGGACTGGTATACCTAGACTTTAGTAAGGCGTTTGATATGATCTCGCATGACCTTCTTATCAATAATCTAGGCAAATACAACCTAGATGGGACTACTATAAGGGGGTGCATAACTGGCTGGGTAACCTTTCTCAGAGAGTAGTTATTAACAGTTCAGTCATACTGGAGGGGCATAACAAGCGGGGTTCCACAGGGGTCTGTTTTGGGGCTGGCTCTGTTCAATATCTTCATCAACGATTTAGATGATGCAATAGAGAGTACACTTATTAAATTTGCAATTGATACCAAACTGGGAGGGGTTGCAAGTGCTTTGGAGGGTAAGGTCATAATTCAAAATGATCTGGACAAACTGGAGAAATGGTCTGAGGTAAATACTATGAAGTTTAATAGGACAAATGCAAAGTACTCCACTTAGGAAGGAACAGTCAGTTTCACACATACAGAATGGGGAAGTGACTGTCTAGGAAGGAGTACTGCAGAATGAGATCTCGGAGTCACAGTGGACCACAAGCTAAATATGAGTCAACAGTGTGACACGGTTGCAAAAAAAGCAAACTTGATTCTGGGATGCATTAATAGGAGTGTTGTGAGCAACTCATGAGAAGTCATTCTTCTGCTCTGCACTGATTAGGCCTCAGTTGGAGTATTGTGTCCAGTTCTGGGCACCATGTTTCAAGAAAGATGTGGAGAAATTGAAGAAAGTCCAGAGAAGAGCAACAAAAATGATTAAAGGTCTAGGGAACATAAGCTATGAGGGAAGGCTGAAGGAATTGGGCTTGTTTAGTTGGGGAAGGAGAAGATGAGAGGGGACACAATAGCAGTTTTCTGGTATTTAAAAGGGTGTCAGAGGGAGGAGGGGAGAAAATTGTTCTTGGCCTCTGATAGGACAAGAAGCAATGGGGTTTAAATTGCAGTAAGGGAGTTTAGGTTGGACATTAGGAAAAACTTTGTCAGGGTGGTTAATTACTGGAATTAATTGCCTAAGGAGGTTGTGGAATCTTCATCACTGGAGATATTTAAGAGCAGGTTCGACAGACCTCTATCAAGGATGATGTAGATTGTTCTTGGTCCTGCCATGAGAGCATGCAACTGGACTTGATGATCTCTTGAGGTGCCTTCCAGTTATAGTATTCTATAGCATCAAAGTTGATACTGTAGAATTCTATAGTTGATCTCCAGACTTGAGCAAACTGCCAAGCAGGGAATTTCCTGTTTTTGTGTATTGCCATGCTGGATTCACTGAGTTCTTGTAAAATAAGTAGGGCGTTTTTTTCTTTTTGTTTTGTACTTTATCTAGATTTGTCTTACAGACAAATTTATCTAGATTTTAGTCTAGTTTTCTATGGGCGCACAGAGCTAAAAGTGAAATAGTTTTGTCTTTGAAAAAAATAGCAAATCAAAACAGACTGGCATGGAGTCCTAGAGATGTACTTTAGAACCCTGCTTTGTAACTTATTCATTGCTTCACCCCTCTCACTTACTGGCTGTCATGACCCACCCACAAACCTGGCCTCTTGTGTATCTGATATTTTTTGGTCATACAATCATAGAAGATTGATTTTGCTCAAAGCAGGACCAACCCCAACTAAATTGTCCCAGCCAGGGCTTTGTCAAACTGGGACTTTAAAAACCTCTAAGGATGGAGATTCCAGCACCTCCCTAGGCAGTGCTTTTTTGTGATGGTACACCCTGGGACAGTGTACCGGCACCTGTTTTCTCTGCATAATTTAAAGGGGCGGAAGCTGGGCAGCTCTTAAAGGGGCCGCAAATCCCCATTTTTTCTTACAAAAAAAACACTGTCCCTAGATAACCCATTCTAGTGCTTCACGCCCCCCCAGTGAAATAGTATTTCCTAATATCCAACCTAGACCTCCCATGCTGCAACATGAAACCATTTCTCCTTGTTCTGTCATTTGCCACCACTGAAAACTGCTTTGCTTATGGCCACCCTCAGCTCTGCCCTGCCAAGTGCTCCCCCCACTGTAGGTCAAAGTCACTCCTCCCCAGCAGGTGACTGCCCCCAACCTTCCACACCTCAGCATGGGGGAGAGGGTGGATGGGCAGCATGCAGCCCTGGCTTTGGCAGGGCTGAATCCCAGACAGCCCTGGGGGAGATGCAGGGGGTGGAGGCTGAGGATGCAATGTGGGCAGAGCAGGGCTGGCAGTTTGGGACGTCACTGCCTTCCTCTGCCTCTCATGGCCTAGCTCCATCTTCTTTGGGGACCCTCTCCCTCTTTTCAGGCAATTGACGGCTTCTCACTCGATCCTCTCACTTTTCTCTTCTGTTGACTAAATAAGCCCAGTTCCCACCATCTCTCTTCATAAGTCACGTGTCCCAACCCCCTGATCGTTTTTCTTGCCCTCCACTGGACTCTCTCTAATTTGCCCACATCTTTTCTGGGGCGGAGCGGGGAGAAACTGGGCACAATCCTCCAGATGTGGCCTTACCAGTGCTGGGAGGAATAATTGCTTCCTTGGATCTGCTGGCTATGCTCCTACTAATGCAGCCCAATATGCCGTTAGCCTTTTTGACAACAAGGGCGCACATTGTTAACTCATATCCAGCTTCTCATCTATGTAATCCCCAGATCCTTTTCTGCACAATTGCTGCCTAGCAAGTCGGTCCCCAGCCTGTAGCAGCACATGAGTCTTCCATCCACAGTGCAGGACTCTGCTCTTGTGCTTGCTGAACACCATCCGATTTCTTTGGCCCAATCCTCCGATTTATCTAGGTCGCTTTGGACCCTATCCCTACCCTCCATGTCTAGCTCTTTTTCCCCCCGGGGAGATTATATAAGGTCCCTCTTCAAAGGTTCTTAAACAGTTAAGTTTCTTACAGGTACTGTTGCCTGGGGAGTCCTTGGAGCAGGGGGAGGGCAGGTGCTCAGGGCAGAGGTATGTATGTGGCAGGGGGTAGCAGGAGTCATGACAGGAGCTTGGGTGAGGAGGAGCTCTGGTCAGGAGGCTGGGAGTGTTCAGTAGTCAGGATTGGGGGTGAGGAGAGGCTCGCGGGGGTGCAGGAGTCAGGGCAGCGAGCTGAGGGCATGGGGGGCTCAGGGCAGAGGGCTGGGTGTATATGGGTGAGTGTAGGGGAGCAAGGGCACCATGGGGAGGGGTGTCACTGCAGCTGCACATACTAGCTTGCTGCTGCTCTGTGTCCCTTGACTGTCAGGGAATGAGGGGAAAGTGCTCAGCGTGCTGCATACTTCTCACTCCTAGCTGCCCAGGAGAGGGGTAGAGGAGAAATCAATGCAGGTGGTGCGTGTGTCGGCCCTCGCTTCCTGACAGGGGAAGCAGAGCAGCAGCAACCAAGTGCATAGGGGGAGGCAGGGGTTCCCAACTTGTGGTCCACGGACCCCTGGTGGTCTGTGATGGTACTGTAGGGGGTCTGCAGAAAGTTTAGGAAAGGAAAAGAAAAGTAAGAATCAGGCCCACCGCAGAACTAGGACCTTCCACCAGGCAATTCTCGCCCAGGGCTTGCCATTCATGCCTGACTACATGCACACTGCCTCCCACTCTCGGGATGCAATCTTGATACCCCAGGGGGCACCATCCATCCATCCTCCCACTGCCAGCTGCACTGCCATTTACGCTCCAGTCTTCCCTCCTCCCAGTCCCGTGGTGGGCTCAATCCTTACTCCCCTCCCCCCTTCCTCCAGGGCTCCGTGCCCAGCAAAGGGTGGAGTGCCAGGGGCAGGAGCTGCCTTTGTCCACAAGAGCCCTCTTGCCGTATCCTCTGTGGATGGGCAGGGGAAGGATGGGGTGGGAGCTCGGGACATGCTGGCTGCTGCTTCCCACCACTCCCCTTGGAGAGTCTGTAAAATTTTAACAGATTGAAAAGGAATTCAGATGCTTGAAAAGTTTGGAAACCACTGGCCTAAGGGAATACATAATAGATATCTATAAAATCATGACCGGAGAAAGTAAATAAGTATTATGTATCACTTCCCATAAAGAAGTAGGATCACCACATGAAATTAATAGGTAGCGGGTTTCAGACAAACAAAAGTGACACAGTACACAGTCAACCTTTGGCACTCCTTGCCAGAGGATACTGTGAAGTCCATGATTATAACAGGATTCAAACAAGAATTAGATTAGTTCATGGAGAATAGGTCCATCAATGGCTGTTAACCAGGAAGAACGGGGATGGTGTCCCTAACCTTAATTTTGACAGAAGCTGAGAATGGGCAACTAGCAGTGATTATCTTTTGTGTATGTTCCCTCTGAAGCATCTGGTATTGACCACCTTTGGAAGATAGTATACTGAGTTAGATGCACCATTGGTCTTGACCCAGTATGACCGTTCTTGGACAAGTTGGGCTAGTTATGTGGAAGGGTGGCATATGATGCTGGATGTCACTATTTTTCTTAGTGAGGATTTGTGGAAGATTAAAAGAGTACAGTGGCATTTTTAACTAGATGAGGCAAGGATGTGCTGGTCATGTCAGAATGACGCTGGGGCTTAAGTTTGTGATAAAGGTTCAAAGCCTAACTAGGGCTAGAACTTAGTTAGACAATATAATGCCAAAACTGCAAGCTGCTTTCATGCAATTGTTACAAAATGACAAATATTGAGTGAACAACAGATTTCCTAGTAGTGCCCCTGTCTTTTCTCACCAAGAGATCTACAACTATTCATTCTCAGGTAACTTCAATTCTTATAAAAAATATTTTGGCCATGTTTGAATCAAAATCCTAAAATTAAGATCTGACCCAAAACTATACCTCCCCCCATCTTTCATTTACCAGTAATTGACTTTGAATAGAAGAGCATGTGAATATGTTGTGTGTGATGGAGCTAGCTAATTAGGAAAGGTGGAACACACTTTCAAAAAGAGGTCAGATTCTGCATGAAAATTAAATCCAGTTGTATTCATTTCAGAGTGCAGAGGAAGAATCCAGATGGGTTGAAGATCTCCTGAAGATGCACACTGCCCGAGTGCGTGACATTGAACAGCTTACGAGCTTGGACTTCTTCCGAAAGACCAGCCGAAGTTACACAGAAATTCTCTCCCTAAAGACATATCTGCATACATTTGAAAGTGAAATTTAACTTTCTAATTTTACTCAGCGCATCCTTTTATCAACTGGTGTATATTTTTATATTGTTTTTATATTTATTAATTTGAAACCAGGATATTAAAAATATTAGTATTTTAATCCTGTATCAAATCTTAAATATTAAGCCTTTATGACAGTTGTTTTGTTTCTCTAATGTTTAATATAAGTTTGGGGTTTTAGTGTGCTTACAATACTGCAGCTTGCATCCCTAGTCAGTTTTAAGTGGTGCTGCAGAATCGATACTTGCATTGAGGAAATATTAATTTTTCCAGTGCTCCTTTGCCATGTTTGTAGTCCTGTACTGTGTATCAAAATACTGAACATGTAAAATTACATTAATTTACTGTTAACTATGTGACAGACATATTTAAACCCTATAGACAAAAATGAATCTTAAATATAATAAACCACACATTCAGTTTTTTAATGTCTTACTTTGCTTTCCTTTCAGAGGATAGTTGAGTTACCTGGAAGCTGAGTGCTTCAGGCTTAATGCTGGCGCCAATTTGTCAGGCTTGCAAGTGTGGTTCTGATGTCTGAAGTTACTCTGAATCCAGGGCAGAAGTGGGCAAAATACAGCCTGTGGGGCCGGATCTAGCTGTCAAAGTATCACATATGGCCTACCACTGTCCTGTGGCCCAGTGGATGCTTCAGGCAGCTGCCATACCCCGGGGGCCATGTGCTCACAGTCTGCTGCTCGCCCCGGTGGATGGGGGAGCTGTACATGATGCCATTGCCCCCGGTACAATATCACAGCTCTCATTAGCCATTTTCTAGCCAATGGGAGTTGTCTGAGCTGTGCTTGCAATGCAGGCAGTGAATGGAGGGCCACCTCCCCTAGGCATGTAGCATGCAGAAAACACGTGGTCCTTGCAGGCGGCCGCTTTGAGTGACATGCAGGGTGCAGCAGGCAGGGTACCTGCCTGAAGGTCCTGCTCGGTGGCTGGCCAGGAGCTGCCTAAGGTAAGTGCCTCCCAGCCAAAGCCTGAACCTGGCACACCACCTGTGCCTTTCCCCAATCCTCTGCCCTTCCTCCTGTTCCTGCCCCACCCCAGGTCACAACCCAAACTCTGCACTCCAAGCCCTGCCCCCATACCCTTCACAGATCTGGAGCCCCAAGCCCTGCCTTGGGTCTCAGCCCTCTCCTACTCTAGGTCACAACCCAAACCCCTACCCACTTCCTGCAACCCCACCCTATGTCTCAGCCCCCTCCCAGACCGTACACCCGCTTCCTGACTCTGCACCCCCTCCTGCACTCCAATCCCTTGTGCAGGTAACAAACCCTTCCTTCACCCAAACTCCCTTCCTGACTCCACACCACACCACCTCCTTCACTCCAGTCCCCTACTCCAAGCTCCCTTCTTCACCCAGCCTCCATCCCAGACCCTGCACCTGCTCCATGGATATCCTGGAAGAGTGCAGCCCTTAACCCCTTACCAAATTCTTAAAGTGGTCTCCCATCAAAAATTATAGCCCACCCCTATCTAGGGCCCCCTTCTGATTTTAAGTGTGCAGGACATAATATGCAGTAAGCCAGCCAGCCATTATTGGCCAGTTAGCATTTCAGTGTTGGGTCAGGAGAGGAGCCTAAGTGGTATCCTCAATCTCTTTCCCCCAACAGACAAGATCACCATATACATGCTGTATTTTGGGGCTCTCTGGCCATGCCCTTTCAATACAGAGAGAGGGAGGATGAGAAAAGGAGCCACTCTGGGTGATAACAGCCAACACATTATCATGGAGGGCAGAATTTTCCCATATATTTTTTGGGGGGAAGGGTGTTTGGGAGTCATTTTACTTTTGCTATACAAGGAATGTAACCATTCCAACTTTGTGTGCATGCAACGGCATAGTGCCTCAAACTGTGTGTGTTTATAATGTGGCTCTGGTTTGAACAATGGGCTTTGAAAATGGCTGCTTGGGGGTCCTTAGTGGTGATGTGCCTCTGACTGCCAGAGCTAATTTGTTTAGTTTGCAAGTAGATTTGTTCTAATTGACCAGTACCCCCAAACTCTCTTAGGGCTTGGACAAGCTGGATACTTCCCCTCTCCTAATTAATCCCAAGTGACTGCCTAATTTAATCCTTAAAATCTCTTTTGGCATTACCAGTGCAACTGCATAGTCTGCAGATTGTGCGTTCATAATGCCTGTGTAAACCCCTGGACTTATGGAATTTGCCCAGGTGTCATTGGGGGTGCAATACTAAAACAAAGTTGTGTAATTTGATTTGCACAGCTTCTGCTATGGGTCTGGAACATGAGGCAACGAATCCCATTAGAACTGCAAACCCGGGCTTAACTGGTGTGGGTAGCGGTTGGTGTTCAACTCAAATACAAGGGAGTAGATTGAGTAAAATTGCTCTGGAGATTAGTAGTAAACAATGCAAACTGAAACCCATATTGCCATTCTTAGACCACTGATCTTCAGGATAGTGTGGCCCTTCAGGCTCTGTGGAGGTTTTCCATATTTTGCGTGCTCATCCATAAATATGTGTGTGTGTGTGTGTATTGGGGTAAGGCAGGAGCATGTTTTAGAACAAGGGTGGGCAAGAGAGTCTCTCCAGGCCAGACCTGGCCCACCAGGTGGGTTGATCCAACCTTCAGACACCCTGCTACTCCCCCCGCCCCCAGCTGGCAGTTCTCTAGGCACTAGGGAGGATGGGGCGGGGGAGTGTGTGTGGGGCAAACACTTCATACGCTCCCCATGCCCCCAAGCCAATCAGGGTCTGTGGGCAGGGGAGCATGGGAAGTGTCCTGGCCCCCCTTACTCTCAAGGCCCCACCCCTTCTGGGGTGGCTCGGGGCCACTTCAATAATTTTTGAAGTGGCCCCTCTTCTAAAATTGCCCACCCGTTTTAGAATGAAGGTGGACGAATGGCTTTGGGTGAGGGAATAAGTCTTCTGTCTGGAGCCAGTTTTGAGAGAGTTGGAGTGTCAGGTTTTTATGACCTCATTGTAGCAATCGGCACCTTTACATGCAAGAGTGGAGTTAAACTGAAACCAAACAACCCGCGGTTACTATCGCCATTGATTTTCTGAAGAGAATACTTTCAGTACTTTTGAGTAATCCAGCTACCAGGTCTTGGTATTCTATACATTACAGATGCTAAAGTCAGCTTAATTTTATCAATTAACACAATATTAACATTTAATAGGAAGGACTTTCAGATGATAAACTACAGGTCAGACCTTCCTTGTCAGGAAATCCTAGTCCTGAACAATGGAGTTTGCTAGACAAGGGGAGGTCAAGGCTCCCTACCCAGCTGTAGCCTCTGCTTCTGGGTGGGGCTGCACTCCTTGTGACTGCCTTCTATCCCACACCATGCTGGGTCTACCCAGGGCTGCATTCCTCACGCGCCAGCTCCTAGTCAGGGTTATGCCCCCCTGCCACAGCACCGGTCCAGGCTGCATGTCCAGCTAACTCCAGCCCCAGCCAAGGCTGAACTCCCCACCACCAGCCACATCCCCGACTGCGTTCCTGCACTGTGCCAGCCCTGACTGATGCTGTGTTTCCTACAGAGCCAGCTCCAGTTGGGGCGGCACTCCTTGCTGCTAGCCCAGCTATGTTTCTAAATCTGGCCAGCCCAGGCTTTATGGTCCAGCAACATTTGTGGTCCTGCTGGACCATGGATGTTGCCGGACCAGAGAGTCCCGAATTTGAGAGGTTCAACCTGTATCATTGTAACAAAATAATGGCACGTCGCTTTGTTTGCAACATAAAAGTTGTCTCGTGGTTTTCTGGAACACTGAAAGTATTTTATTTTTCTGTAGATTCCAAGCAGGGCTTTCTGCCACCACAAACTTAAATTTCTTACATATCCTACAAATCCTTTAGAATGAAAACAGTTTCCAGTTAAGATTTCCTTAAAATTGATCATAACTCTTATCTAATGTGAACTCATACAAACTTAATCTAAGACCACCAATACTGTGCACATATTCAGGCCAATTTTTAATGATGTAATCCAGGAGTGGGAAACCTTTTTTGGGTTGGTCACTAAACCACAGAAAAATCAGTAGGCTAGATATTGTGTACTCCAGCACTAGTTTGGGATCCCCAAACCTTGGGGACCGGATCCAGGCAAACCGGGGGGTGGCAGGTTGCCAGCCCTTGATGTAATCTCTTTACATTTCCTTCAAATGAAAAACTAATTGCAATGTAACCCTGGAGTATTAGATCTCTAAAAAATTATTTTGGGGGCACTAGTTACAGAAATGATTGTCTGGATCCCTGCTCTTGTGTTTTAATTTCTTTGAACAATGGTGGCTTAAAGATCAGTGTGTAGAGAAATGTGAAATTTAATTCATAATATATCAGAGTATACAATGCTTTAGCTTCCATTGTGTCAACAGCCGGGAAGGATACTTACACCTCCTACATTTCACTCTCTTTAGGCCATTTTGAAAACATACATAAAATACCTTAAAAACAATGTGACCCCTTAAAGTCTAACAGATGTATTTGGGCATAAGCTCTCATGGACAAAGACCCACTTTGTTAGATGCAAGACATAGTGGGTCTTTGCCTATCAAAGCTTATGTTCAAATAAATCTGTTAGTCTTTCAGGTGTGACAGCACTCCATTGGTTTTGCAGATACAGACTTACACCGTTACCCCTCTGTGATGTCATAAAATGCCATGTGTTTCTTACTCTGCACTTTCCACCACATATGTGAAGGTGTTACTTTCCAAGTTCTGAGAATACAGAATGGTCACTATCAGGGGAATGAATACTGAATTTGCCTTAGAGGGGCAGGAAATGTCCTGTGTGGTGGTACTTAGTGTTAGAATTCATTATGCTATGCAGAACATTGTGTTATCACAAGTAGCATTACTGGATATTCCTGTGAATGCAGTTGGAGGCCATCCAGACCTTGAGGAATTGTAAGGTGGTGAAAACTGTAGCTATCTTGCATATTACATTGTTTTTCAGCTATCAGGAAAAACCCTCCTTAGATGGCAGAGCTGGTCAGGAATAGGAATTTTAGTTCTACAGAAAATTCTCTTATCTTTTTCCATGCCAGAGGCAAAAATTCCTGCAAAATGAAAATCCTGAGATTTCACTTTGGGGTGATCAAAACCTGTTGCTTTGACTAATGTTTTGCTTTGATTAATATTTTGACTCATTTCAGTTGGACTCATTGTACACATCAAAATGATAGTTAGTGCAAAATATTTTACCTTGTTTAAATGACATATTCTGATTTCGCCCTCCACCTGTGAAATTTTCAGTCAGCATGTTTTGGGAGACTGCTAAACAGGTCCTGGACTTAACCTCAGTGCTGGCTATAGTTCAGTAATGGGACAGTTTTAGTGCTCCTAAAGTGCTCCCCTGTGAGACGAAGGGCTTACTGAAATGTTGGCATTAGCCCTCATGCCATATAATGCAGTGGTTTTCAAACTTCTAGTCTCATGTCCCTGTAG